GGATTCCCGCGCTTAGCACCGCGTGAGGCGCTGGGGACCCCCACCCTCACTCCTCCCATCCTGGCGACCCAGATCCAAGAAGAGCCCCGAGAGACCTGCTTCAGAGAGACGCGGACGGAAGCGCAGGGACCGAAGGATGCGGCACGCTTCCTCCAAGCCCGCGTCAGATAATGGGTGTAATACACGGAGGGCTTAAAAACAAAAATAAAAAGGACTAAAATCCAACACCAGAGGAGGAGGTGTCCCCAGGCGGACGATGGGTGGTCCTGTGCGTCTTAACCCCACGCCTCGCTGGCTCCCCTTTGCCCTAAAATCGAAGCGCTGGGCCAATGGCTACAGGGACGCAGCCTGGGAGGCGCAGCGCGCCCAGGCTGCCTCCCAACTGACCCTGCGACGGCGGAGTGACGGTATTTCCAGCGTTTTAGGATCCCCTGGAAGTCACCTTGAGCAAAACGTTGCGGGAAAGGCGGAGCGACGGCCGGGCGCCTTTGCTCCGGCCCTTCCACCCTGAGGGTCCCAGGGTCCTCTAACAAGTGCCGCCCGGCCCAGGTGAGAGGCCCTCGCTCCCAGGATCCGGCTCGGGCCCCTGCAGGGTGCGCGTTCTTGCACACTGTGTCCCACCTCGAACCTGCAGGAGACGGGGCGAGAAGGCCTCGGTGAGCCAAAGGGAAAATCAGTGTCTCCAGCCCTGAGGGAGTGAGTGGCCGAAAGAGGTGACGGCCCAAGCCTGCCACATCAACTCACAAAAATGCACCGTTTCCACTCCGGGGCACGATGCCTCCTGGCTTGATGAAAGCAGAGAACCCTTCTGGCTTTCAATGTCCCTCCTAATCTTCTTCCAATTAGCCTGTTCTGATGAGTTTCCCATATGAATTGCTGAATTTCACAGTTGGGAAGATCTCCCCTCCCTCCCTTTTGTGTGAGGTACGTTTACCCTCCTTCGTTTAAGAAGTGATTCTCAAACCTGGCTGATGACGTGTGGAACTGATCAAAATATATATAGATTCCTGCACCTGAATTAGTATTCTGGACATGCTCTTTTCTTGGGTGAATCCCATCATTAGTAAGTCTGTGATTCTCTGGATTAGTCGGAGAGAGAGAGAGTAGCTAAGATTTATAGACTCCATCTTCCTCATTTTGCAAATAAAGGAACTCCGGCCCAGAGAGTGTGGAAAATTTGACAGTAGCTGCTGAAAGCTGTGAGTTAACCCTAGTTTCTGGATATCAGTGCGGTGCCCAGTGCTAGCCTGTTCCTTCGCTTTTCTCTGTGCACCACATCCACTACCATTCCTCTGCTTACTCTCCCATTATTCATGCTTTGCCCAGCCATTCCTTCCACACTTACAGAATGAATCCCACTGAAGGGTATGTTATAAATACCACATAGTTTAACTCTAAAAGTTTCATTTTGCCAACTTAATTGACGATTTTGGAGGCAGGAACTCGGCCAGTTGTCTTTACCAGCAGGACTGAAACTATGAGCTCACGGTAGCGGGAAATCAACAAATATTTATTGACTGATTGATTTATCAACACAGGCATCCAAATATGATTGTGTCTACCATCTAAGGACTTTCATTTCTTCGACTTCAGGGCTGCTAAAAGGAGCATAGCACTTTGTTTGTGGAAAGAATCAGGCAGAACTAGCTTTGAACCAAGGCCCTGCCAGTTTCAGGCTATTTAATCAGAAGCACAAATAAGCCTATCTCAGTCTCAGTTACCTTTCCTGTAAAAGGGGGATATTATTCATCTTCATGATTCTAAATGTTAAAATGCCTGGGACTTGGACTGTAGAATAGTAGATTTTCAACCTGTGTTGGTGCCTTTCTTTTCAGGAATTGAAGGCCCTTAATAAATTCATGTACAGCAGAGGGATTTCCAATTCAATTAAGTGGGGGACACCAGGTGAAGTGAACATCTGTTATTTATTTATTTTTTTTGCATGCCCAATATTTCTTCTTTCTCCTTTTGGTAAGAGTACTCTGCATTTTTCCTATGGGAAACTACCTCCCAAACCTTAGGTGATTCTGGTAGGGCTATCGCTCCTGTGGCCCTGCCTCCCTACCCCTGGGTATGTACTTATGTGACCCAAGTAGAGTAAGATAGTCATGGACCCTGGGGTAAGAAGGTCTTCTCCTCTGGCTTCATGAGCTCTAAGGACAAGGAAATGTGGAGCTTAGGGGGTCTGCCATTCTGCCTTGTGGAGAAAGCTCACCAGATACTGAACACTAGCATTAGAATGAGAGAAACAAGATCTTCAGGTCATCTTTTAAACACCTGGAGCTGAAGCCATTTCTACTCCATTAGCTCCCAATTGGATGACCCAATCAGTTTTGTTTAGTCTTGTTGCTTGAGGTAATGAGTGAGGAGTTAGCTGTGATCACTTGCAGTGGAGAATGCTCAGTAGTCCTGGCCTGTGTGGCTCAGTAGGTTGAATGTTGTCTTATGCACCGAAAGGTCTCCGGTTCGATGATTCCCACTTGGATCCCTGGTCAGGAGGCAACCAATCAATGTTTCTCTCTTACATCGGTCTTTCTCTCCCCCTCTCCTTCTCTCTCTAGCATCAATAAAAAACATATAATTAAAAAAAAACCACAACACTCAGTAAAAACCTGAAAGCACAGGAAGCTTGAACGCTCAAGGCCTTGTAGACCTTAAAATATAGAAACTCATGGGTTGAAAATAACAGTGGTTCAACTAATGGTGATTTTATTGCCTGAATACATGTATGTTAATCACTTATCTTAGCTAATAATGATGAAAACACAGCAAACTAGATTCCTTACACNTATGTTAATCACTTATCTTAGCTAATAATGATGAAAACACAGCAAACTAGGTTCCTTACACACACACACACACACACACACACACACAAGTCTCAGATTGCATGATGACCATCAGCGTTGGTCAGCCTTTTACGCATTCACATGCTCTCATAACAATTTAAGAGGTAAGTATTATTCTTACCTCAAGTTGAAGGGTAAAAATGCAAGTGGTTTTCCTAATGGTGATGAATTAGTCAGTGATGAAACCAGTATTCTAACCTGAGTCTTCTAACTTTAAGTTCTGTACCTTTTCTAAATCTCTTGAGAACTCTAGGCACATATAGACTTAACTGGATAGGATTTGGGGCTTATTGTTATTTTATTAAGAAATTCACATATTGTTTGTAAAGAAAAGCGTAGTATTTTTGGACTGCATTAGAACCAGTTGGGGAAAGAATGGTGATTTTTAAAAATGTAAACAATAGGGTCAAGTCTGCATATATTGAAGCTTTTTTGCCCTTAATTATATATATTTCTAGTTTCTCTCAGCAACCAGTTACTCACAAGAATATATGTCAAAGGAAAACAACCTCCTGACATGTGATAGTAAGTTTAATAGGCTAAAGTAGATTCATTTAGTATTTTGTCAAGTTGAAACATTCTTATTTATGATTTTGGAAGGTATCTCAGTGTTAATGAGCTGTTGTGTAATGGAATATCTTATGCCAGGATTTAAATCACTTTTTACTTCTTAGACTCTTAGTTTGCAAGTTCCTAAAATCGATTCTGGTAAAGGGCAGTCTGGTACGTGTCTACTTTCTGGGCTTGCTAAACGGATGATTTCCTAATTCTTTAATCTTTGATAAAAGTCCAAATCTAAAAACATTCATGGGCACCACAAGAATTACTAATAAGCTTAGTTGAAGCATGCCAGGATAATTTTAGTTAACAGGTAAGTCAATATTTCTTTTACAAGTATAGTGAAATAGTGTTTACACAACTGGTGGGCTATTATGGACTTATTTAACTTGTTTAAAAGAGTATAGAGCCCATTATTTGCCCTGCTCATTTTACATTCATGATATAATCAGTCTTATACTGAATTTCTTAACTTCCTTTCACTAACAAAGTCTAATTAATTGAGAAGGAAGGAGGATTTAAGAATAAAGATCTATTTTCTTTCAGAATTATTTATTTTGCAAGAAAGCATTAGTTCAGCTAATTCATTACTTTGAAATAGCCTATTATATAAAATCAATTGGATCTGTCTTTCATATTATCCAACATAAAGGAAACCTTTAAATATACCCATATGCTCAAAACATGCCAAAGGAAAGGATAGCGGGATGTGATATTATCAATTCTTTAGCTCATTTTGATCCCCTTGTCTTAATTCATGTGTGATAATGAACATGGTTCTTCCTGAGAACATGTGTCCAATCAGTCTCACATGTAAGCCATGGGTAGGTTTTCTTTTAGGAATAAAATTAATGAGAAAGAAACAATAAAATACTTGAAATTAAGTCATCTTTCTGCTTATTCACATGCTTTATTTAATTCTGCCACATATTGCCTTAGTATCCAGACAACTCTTCCGCATGCCCAGTGTGATGAATCTTTTTCTAGTCCCTTTAGAAATAGACTTTTAGAATTTTTAACCATCTACCATGTCCACATGCTCATATTTAAATGTCAGGGCTTGGACAGAACATGAGCCTTGCTCCAGAGTGGCAAGGGGCTAACAAGTTCCTGTTTGCAGAGCTGCTCCCCCCAGGCCTGTCTCTAGAGGATATACAGACTTACACCCCTCATCTGTAATGCAGAGATCCTGAGAGCTCTGAGAAGGGAAAGGGTTTTTGAAACAAACTTGGTGGTCCAACAGAACTGAATGGATATGATTCTATTTATAGTCTTTCTCTCATTTCATGTTAATATTCACTCAGTTTGCTGCAGAAATGTTGATGTGTTTGATTGTAGGGTGCTGCCCCCAACTCCATTGAAGGTTTCATATAATATACAGGATAGTTTTCTCAAAATGTCCTATTATTAAATTCTCCAAAATTCTTCATTCTGCAACATCTGTGACCCTAATGTTTTGGGTAAAGGGAGTACGACCCGTAAACATCAAACCTTGGAATATTTATCTCAAACAATACTCAGAAGAAAAAGACAGAAAAAAAGAGCATTAGAGCTCCTTGGATGAGGGAAGGGTGGAAGTACCATCCAGAGCAGAGCCCAGGGGAGGGAGAAATGAAGTGGTCGGCTCAGGTGAATAAGTGGCCATCACTGGA